TAAATTTTCTTTTCCCGTGGGTATAAATCCTTCAGGTTGATCCATATATACTTGTTCCTCTAGATCACCATTCAAAAAAGCGGTTTTAACATCCATTTGATGAAGCTCTAAATCATAATGAGCAACTAAAGCCAATATAATTCTCAAAGAGTCTTTCTTAGAAACCGGAGAAAAGTCTTTTTATAGTCTGTGCCTTCCTTTTGGGTATAACCTTTGGCAACAAGTCGGGCTTTATACCTTTCGATGTTACCACGTGAGTCAAGCTTGGTCTTAAAGACCCATTTACAGCCGACTTTCTTTGCACCTTCCGGTAAATCTACTAAGTCCCAGACATTATTATCGTTCATGGATTTTAATTCTTCTTTCATGGCATCAAACCATTTTCCAGAATTACAACTATTCATGGCTTGTTGAAATGTAGACGGATCATTATCAATGCTTAAGTCACATTCATGTTCTAGAGAATAAACCACATAATCATCTGAGATTGCAGATCTCCTTTCCCTTTCAGATCGTCTCAAGATGATCGGTGGTTCATTAATCTCCTCTGGTACCGTGACTGGTTCATTAATAATGCTTTCATTATGTGGGTTTTCGACATGCTGTTGTTGTACTCGAATATCACGAGACGTTGATGTGAATTTCGGTACAAGAACAACAGAAGGGATATCCGGTGTGAAAAGGTTATCCCGAATCTCTTCTATGCCAACTTTTCGTGATTCATCACTCCCAATGATTTGACCATTTTCAATGAACCTTGCATTGCCAGTTTCCATAATTCTCGTACTATGATTAGGACAATAAAATATAAATCCTTTAGACTTTTCTGGATAACCAATGAAAAATCCACTGATTGTCCTAGGATCAAGCTTCTTTTCATGTGGATTGTATACTCTTATTTCTGCTTGGCAACCCCAAACATGCAGGTGCCTTAAACTCGGTTTCCTTCCTGTCCACAGTTCATAAGGTGTTTTAGGGATTGCTTTGCTAGGAACACGATTAAGCAGATAAGTTGATGTTTTTAATGCATACATCCACAATGAGAGAGGTAAAGAGCTATTACTTATCATGCTCCTAACCATATTCATTAATGTACGATTCCGCCTTTCTGCTACACCATTTTGTTGCGGTGTACCGGGCATTGTGTATTGTGCACAAATACCCTTACTTTCGAGGAATTTCGCAAATGGACCTGGACACTGTCCAGTCTCATTATATTTTCCATAATACTCTCCACCTCTATCAGATCTCACAACTTTAACCTTTTTCTCTAACTGCCTCTCAACCTCATTGATGAACACTTCAAGTATGTTCACAGATTGAGATTTATCATGCAGAAGATAAGTATAACCATAACGTGAGTAATCATCGATAAAAGTAATAAAGTACATTTCTCCACCCCACGTGGAAATATCAAAAGGACCACAAATATCAGTGTGAATTAATTCTAGAAGCTGAATGCTTCTTGTGGCCGCTTTCTTTATAGTATATTTTGTCTGCTTTCCTTTGATGCAGTATAAACATACCCACCCCTAAATCACTAAAATCCAAACATGGTAAAATTTCATTCTTCACCAATCTTATTAACCTTTCTTTGGATATATGACCTAATCTTTGATGCCACAATAAAGCCGAACTTTCATTGTTAGGTGCACTACGTTTAACGCCCATAATATTTTCAACATTAAACAAGGATTCTGAAAACTTTCTATCAAGATTAAAGCGATAAAGACCATCCATTAAAATACCAGAACCGAAAATGTGTTATCCATTTTTATTTGGTTTTAAATGATATGGATTATGCATTGTTGAATGAAAACCCACCAGCCATAACAGATGAAAACTCAGAAAATGACAGGATTAACTTCGAATCCTGGGGGCGATCAAATAGGCTATGTTTGAACTTGATGAGGATCACTATGGCAGAAAGTGTTAAGCCATCGATGCCTAAAACTGAAAGTGCAAAGGAATGTTTGGATCATACTGAATCCCTGTTTAATATGAAAAACGTGAGTAGTAGCACCTGAATCTAACCACCAAGTATTATTAGGAACTTCAATAACATTCGATTCAAAGCAAACTAAAATATTATGTTTACCTTTACTTTCGAACCATTCCTTCCTTTTCTGACAATCTTTCTTAATGTGTCCAGTCTTTTTACAGAAAAAACACTTGACATCTTTCCGGACTCGGCTCACATTATCTTTTGTTGGAGCCTTATCCTTCCTTTTGTCATTCTTTCCTGGTTTTCTTTTATTGCTGCCGACATTAGTTTGAACTACTTTTGTTGGAGCCTTATCCTTCCTTTTGTCATTCTTTCCTGGTTTTCTTTTATTGCTGCCGACATTAGTTTGAACTATAAGATGGACAGAATGTTCTTTCACCTTCTTTAATCTCCCTTCCTCCTGTATGAGCATGGCCTTCAACTCCTGAAAGTTCCATTTTTCCTTGATGGTGTTATAATTCACCTGGAACTGGCCAAACTCAACAGAGAGAGAGTTAATGATGAACTGGACCAGAAATGTCTCATTAACATTCATTCTCATAGCTTTCAACTTTGCCGCCATATTAGACATGTTAGTCACATGATCATGGATAGGCTGAGACCAGTCAAACTTTTTCGTAGTTAGCTCACTCATGAGACTTCCTACAATCGACTTGTCAGCCAAATCCGACTGAGAATACTCTTTAATCTTTTGCAGAAATTCCTTTGCACTTTCAGTTTTAGGCATCGATGGCTTAACACTTTCTGCCATAGTGATCCTCATCAAGTTCAAACACAGCCTATTTGATCGCCCCCAGGATTCGAAGTTAATCCTGTCATTTTCTGAGCTTTCATCTGTTATGGCTGTTGGCTTTTCATTCAACAATGCATAATCCATATCATTGAAACCCAAATAAAATTGGATCTGT